GTTGAACTTCCCCTCAAAGTTCTTCCTACAACTTTTCAGTCGTCTATCCTAATAATAGTAATAATGATAATAATATCTGTATTCTGAGCGGTATTTTTGCTACAGTATTGCATCTTTCTCATTACATGGGTAATAATTAAAACAGGGCATTTACATTGATAATATTGTTCAACAAGAATCTGAATATAAAATTAAGTAAAAACAATGACAACGATATAATAATTAAAAAATAAGTTGGTAGTGTCCTGTCTTACACTTTTCGCATCGCATAAAATATGTGTAGAGTTTTTGTACTTAGTCATCCGAGCACACATACGCAGAACGTCAAACAGAGTATCTTTCTGGAAACTAACATCATCTATTTTTTATTTTCGCTTAAAATACAAAAACCTGGTACAATGTAGGCACCAAGAAGGTGAGCCACACAATAGTAATAAGACAAATAAAGGAATAAAGGACCTCATCTGGGGAGGAAGCAGTTATATTTAACAAGACCAAACAGATTTCTTCAAAGTATTGTCCGGAAGGGAAGAAAGGAGGAAATTACCACGTCATGAGCGGACCAGCTCTCCACTTTTTTCCATCCCGTTCCAGGGCTAGCGAAAAGAGACCTGTACGGAAGCCTCTGAGATGGCATTCGTAGCACATGTCCAAGCCACCAGACATGTGACAATACTGAATGAATGGTGATCTCCTCTGTGTCCAAACACACGCAGCCGGACCTCAGAATTACTCACGTGATGTCATCGCACGCAAGCAAATATTGCGAAGATAGCGATGGGCGAACACGCAGAGTCGCTTCACATCGTCAGCTCGGAGAGGTCATAGGCATTGAGCAAGATAACACGCACCGAAGCATTGTAAACCCAACCTTTGACGACCAGGCCAACGTCGTAACGGCACCTGAGGCGACACTGAAGTTAATGTTTGTCACCATAGCTTTCATGATACTGCAGGAAATATCACGCGTCACTCCTTGGTCAACACTCACAGAACCACCCAAATACACGAACTTATTGACAACTTCAAGCAATTCACCTGCAAGTACGAGCACAGGTACAGGCTGCTGCCAATCTTGTAACATTACCATGCACTTAGCGCAAGGCACATACCACACTAACAGATACTGATCGCCAAATGATTAAGTGCGATTTGGGCAGCCTGCATGCTATCGTACAGTAAGACGATATCGTCTGCTTACTAGAGGTCCAGAAGTCTTTCTCCAGGAAGCAGATTTACACCGCTAACGCTTACATCCTTCAGAAATGACTCCAGAATGTCACCAATGGCAAAGTTAGAGAAAGACGATGAGATTAGGCAGGGTCACCTAATCTCACTGCTGAGAACATAGATGATAACTGGTTCTATGCTCTCAATCTACTTGAGGTATTTCTGTATAAGGCTTTCACGATGTTAATAGACTTCTCATCTACATCCCTCTCTAACAAACAGTTCCAGGGCACAGTTTCATCCAATAAATTGAAGACAGTCCTAATATCAGGAAGCACAACTTATGTTGGCCTGCAATACGCGTGACTGTGTTCGAACAACTGACGAAGGGTGAATACATGATCAGTGCATCCACGGTCTGAACGAAACCCAGCCTGCTCTTCGCAAATCAATGCCTCACGTATTTTCTTCATAGCCTACGAAGCAAGACAGCAGTCAATATTTTAGACGCAGCTGGTGGTAAACTTGTACCTCCATGGTTTTCGCATGAGTTACGTCGATCCTTTTTAAAGATGGCGACGATGATGGCTTCATACCACATTGATGGTACATCCTCAATTTCCCGTACTTTCCTGAACAAACCAGTTAAAGCTGTGATGAGGATCTCACCACTGTCTTTATAAAGAGCTGGGGTTGCCAAGACCGGGTGCCATGTGGGGCTTCAACACTTAGAGTTCCTTTCGGACGTCCGTTTAGAATACTCGGTCGGTACTGACCGATCAAGGAGTGCTGTAGCTGATGATGGTGGATGCTTCTCATAGTACAATGACCAGCATTCTAGGTGTCTTTACAAACTGGTAATTGGCGTACCATCTGCTTAACAAATCATCTCGCTGTCAGTGGTTCACATGAGCTGGAACAGCTTCCGGCTGCTGCCAAATGCAGCTGCTGATCCCATCTCACACGTAGGTTCTAACCACCAGGTTTCGCGGTCCTTACGTAAGCACTGTCTAACCTTGCGCGCAAACGCCACTCGTATGTTGCTGTCTACTGGAATTGGCCGGCGTTCATCCAGGAGATGCAAGGAACTCGCAGAAACCTAGTGGAGCATTCTTTTAAGCTGCAGGCGGCTTCATTCGCCATTAGCAGATGTAGCCAATGTTCATCTATACTACTTGGAGGGTTGCTAGCTAGCTTTGATTGCTACTCACTTTGATACTTCAAAGAGGTAGCAGGTGCTACCAGTTTGCTCACATCAGCGTGTAGATGACGCCGTTTATGAACGCCACCAAATCGCAAGACGAAGCTGGCTTACACACTAACGCATGATCGGAGTCCAGGCATGTGCTCCAGTAGGAGCGGCAGTCTTGCATGCATACACACTATCGGAAACTGACAGGTATGTGGTCATTCTGAGTCCAGGTTTGATTGGCAGATGGGGTACTCCAGGTAGAGCTACGGCGATGGCTGTGCTGAAAGTTGGTGCTGGCTAGAAATAGGTTGTGATCTGCACAAAGGTATAAAAGACGGTCCTCATCATGGGACTTGCGACGACCCTCCTCTGAGCTTAGACGCCCGACCTGTGCATTCAATTCCCCAGCTAGCACTGTAATACCTCTCTGACGCGCGTTGCAAGAGATCACTCAGTTGGAAGTAAAACTCATCCTTAATTGCATGCGGACTGCAAAACGCCGGTGCGTAGGCGGAGACCACAAATAAGGCACTACCTTTCTGGCCTTACTTCTTACTTTCGTATAACCTTTCAGCCTCACAGAGCATAAACGTCTGTTAATGGGGATCCAGTCGAGAAATGCGGCTCCGGCTCTAGCACTTAGTGCAACACCAGCTACGCCAGATGCCGACGCCACAGGGTCCCCGGACAAGCGCACGTGGTACATACTATCCGCACTTCCAGATGGAGAAGATATTCAAAGCACTTCACTGCGATCTTGAGTGGGGGTCCCCTAAATTCAGCAGACAACTATAATGGGGCTTTCCGATGTTCTCAACAGACCTGTCTGATGTCCGAATTGAATCAGTATCCGAACATTGTAGGTGACCGACCTGGACACGGCACGCAGTTTTAAGATATCTGTATTAGATGTCTCACTGGGGATCACCATTTTTAAGGCTACTTACTGACACATCGAAGCGGTACAGATAGGCTGAGAATTTAAACAAGAAAGTGAAAACACCAGGGATAGATAAAGTAAAACAAAAACGTCTATGTATAGAAATAAAGTTAAGAAGAAAAGCGTCACTTGGAATATCATTATTGTTCGAGAGCATTGTAATGAGCATGCGATTGGTTTTACTTGTAATTTCATTTCATTGATAGTGTGAGGACTGAGATACTACCTGGACTCCCAGACCAAAACACGTGTTTGGCTTAAAGGATCACCTCCGAGCCTTTGACTTGGTGTCTCATCCGCAAGGCAGTACAGCAGTGTTGCGAACTATGTTCCCATGGTTGCCAATGACCAATACAAGTTGATACGCCACTCGACCCGATTGGATTCTGGAGTCCTTGTACCCTACATTAACCGCTATCCAATCAACCTTCTTGGAATGGTAGGACCTGCAAGAACATAAGTTCCAGCCAGTGTAGTTTGTTGGATCATTGCGACAAGCAGGCCCAACCACTACAAGGTAGCAGCTGTCGGCCAGAAACTAACATGAAGTGGGAAAACCACGAAGGATAAGAGGAAATGTACAGTCCAAAGTACTGTTTCCTATCAGAAAAATAGGAATGCAACAACTTATTGGTCCAGCATCCTGCTTGTGTGGCAGCAAGCTTGTTTAATGAAAGAGGCCCGAGCGGTAATTGAGAATTGTTTCGCTTATCATTTGCTTTTGCAGCATGATTCCTTAATAAACCCAAATAGCTGTCTGCTATTGCCAATCACTGATTCCTTTTCTATCTTTTTCGCTTTTGTCGCCCACCACTGTTCACGCTCGTTTCATAGGCTTTCAGACAGCTTTCGCTCCTTATTATGTATGAAGCCCCTCCCCAGAGTCAGTCTTCTTGAATATCGCGGTACTAATTAAGCAGCAGAAATCCACTAGCGATTTGTAATCATTGGCTTTAGGTTGTCTATCGTCTTCACTGCTGTTTCTACAGCTGACTGGATATAATGCCACGATGTCTTTCTATAAGTCTCAGGTATGCACTTAATTACTTTTACCTTGGAGAAAGACTGAGTTTTCATCTAGATGTACGAGGATTAGTGGTTTGGTAGCTACAGGTTTTCTTTGTTTTCAGTCATAGGCACATATACGCAAGGATTACTACTTGATCAGTGCCTACGCAGGTATTCTAGAAAGAGCGGCAGTCATCTGTCCACTGTATCCATCTATAGCCTATAGCTACTCGATCTGTTTGGATCCATTGTTCATTTAATGATGGTGGTTGTCAGGTTCGGCAACGTTTGCAATTAATGCTAAAGCAAAACATGGGACTCCGTAGGTGACATTAGTAGACTTTTTTGACTGATACAGCTTCCCTATTTGAGCATTGAAAATGATCAAATAAAAATATCTGACCGGTTTGCTTTTATCCTCAAACTAGACGACTATCTATAGAACTCATCCTTTACTTCGGTTGGGGCATAAAAGGAAATTATGATGAAAAGATATCGACGGGTACAAAAATTCACAACTACCACCTATGTCATTTTATTTACAACGCATTTACTTATAAAATTACCAGTGTAAAATTCTAACATAAACAAGATAGACATTCGGAGAAAAACAAGTGAAGATTTCGTCCGAAAGATCGACACATATACCGAATCTACTAAAATATGTACACCAATAATTTCTCATCATGATTATTTGTGTCTTATGTGTTTCTTGAATTTCTGTACTTTATTTTTTTTATTGTTATTATCTTTCTTATCTGAGAGGAGTTTGCGTTTCTTCTTTTTGCTCAAATGAATTGACGTACTATCTTGTTGATTTGTACTTCCTTCTTCAGTAATAGTTGACATAGCATTCAATACCTCTGAAATTTCTAATCTTTTGGAAACGGGTGCATCAGATGCCCAAGCAGTTCGTTTTAGACCAGGTTTGGTGACTATCTCATTGCCGTTTGGTGTTGGAAGGTCGTCAACAGCTGTGAATACAGTACAGCCTTTGGCTTTGAAACGCTTTCTCATTGATTCAACCGCCTAGATTAAGACATATATATATTAGAAGATAAAGTTAGTAGATATGACTAAACCAACGTTAACATACTACAAGCATTATTGAAAAATATTCCAACTTTATTCAACATTAGTATGGGTATAGTAAAAGCAGATCAATTGAAGTATATTCTCAATTTATGAGACTGTAATGAACTAACTTGATTTGCTCTAAGAGAAGCCTCTTTTACTTCCATATTCAATTCTTCAATTGCTGCCTCAAGCATTTTATCTTCTGAACTATTGGGTTCAATCAGTGCAGGTATTCTCTCTTGACCAAGACCCCCAGCAGATATTAAATGTGATTCAATTTCTTTTAAGAAGAAAGTAACGGAATACTGGGTTAGCAATGTTAAGGCACAACCGAAACGACCAGCTCTGGCAGTTCGACCAACTCGGTGCATATAAATTTTCGCATCTAACGGGACATCATAATTCACGACCAATCCAACCTGTGGGATATCTAAACCACTGAAAAGAAACGGAAGAAAGGCTTGAGGCAAACACACACCATTTTAAATCTTATTTATCCCAGACAACCAATCTAATGTGTAACATTACTTTAACATATTCTGTACAACTAGTTGTTTGGGACATAAATGCAATATGGAATTGGTCTCTTGAGTGATAATATACTTCTAATGCACTCATCAATTCTTCGTATTCGAATCAAGAGTGTCAGCATATTTCCAAGGAAAATAAAAACATAATAAGCAAATCTTGCATACATGTGAAGGGCTACAGTGCAGCTGATGACCCTGATATGATGCCAGTGGAATAAAGTAACATTCAACACTCAAGAAACTGCAAAGAATTTCCGATTAATATACACAAAAGTACTCAAAATGCACACAAATTTAAAAGATGGGACAGATGACGCTAGACAATTTACTCTTCAAAATTTTTTTGACTAACTTCACTTAGAAGAAACACAATCCTCAGATATACATCAAATGGGAGACGTATCAAGTTTTAAGCATCACACAGTCATCACCTGATAGAAAAAAGTCTCCAAAACGTCAATGTCGATCAGAATCGTATTCATGAGTATGCCAGCCAAAATATCGAGTTCGAGATGTAGGAAATCCGAGGATATGGTAAAAGGTAAACATTTAACCAAAGTATCCTCCGTCAAACTTCAATTTCACTTTTCCTAAACTCCACTTTGTCTTCGTAACTCCACGAACTCTAGGAACATAGGTACTATATTAGTTGAGCTCATGTTCTTGTCGACGTCATCGTCACAGGAAGACTTGTTTCCTATCTTACAAACTGGGATGATTAACAGTCTACTCCAGTCTCACCGAACTCTCTCGGATTCACACACACTAACAACTAGTATATAAGTTAATCACTCCAAGTCAGTAATTCATCGTCTCCACTTTGAAACACCTCTGAGGTTAATCTATCGGATTTCGATACTTTGCTGTCTTTTCGGATAAGAGACATCCCTTACAACCTCCACTACAGTTGACAAATCAGTTTCCACAATCCATTTAAGCTGTGGTTCGATGGTGGCCAACTGTAGACCGGTTGATCTCCCCTCCAAACTCTTCGACCTGAAATTCCAGCCACCTCTCCTAAGGAGGTGTCAAAGTTCTATTCCTCTCGGCAATCGTGTCATCATGGCTTTCCCTTTCTCACCATTCAGCAAAGCTTATTGCTGAAGTCGTTTTCTTTCACTTCTCTCTCGTCACCCAGCATTGTTTGTGGTTGTTATGATGACAGACTTAGTCGGAAACTTTCAATGATTATAGGGTGTGGTGTGTGCTGGCGTCAGTTCTCTAGTAGTGACCGACTCGTTTGGATGAGGTCACGGAAATCCGCTGGAATTCGCTAACCCCTCTCACCACAGACTTACAGATGTATTCACACTGTTACATGGTGATAGGAGGTCTCATCGCAATGAACACTACTGTTATACTCAAATAAGGGCTTAGTTATCTACACAGTCTTATCTACACACAGTCTTTGAGATCACAACAACAAATAACAGATACGTAAGGACTGCTTAACTGTTCTTTTCTAAATCCACTCAGTTGGAGGCTTTATATGATCCACAATAATACATGTTCAAAGTTCGCATGAGTGGGTGTCTCACAGAGAGTAGCTGTCTCCCATTGATTCTCTCCGTCAATTTACTCTCATCTTATCTAACTCTTCTATTTGTGTCGAACGATGTTTTTAAATCCGTGTTCTCCAGGTTATTCACGAAGTTACTGTTGTCCAGTGTCAGATAGTTATCTGAACAAATAGGTATGAGGTACAGGCTTGACCACCAAGTTTAACTTGCAACTATCAGTTGTTTGACAAACATGAGTAGGAAAACCTCGTACTACTATCGACTATCAGTCAACTAATTAGTTGACATTCAAACTTTGACTTTAAGACAATACTAATAGACTTCAAGGAGAGGCGATGAGAAGTGGATGTGGAATTTGATCTCCAAACAAAATTTTCCATTGTTAGTGGACAGATAAACAGATCTAATCAAGAGGAAGTATTACTTCAAATAAAACGGTACAATAATTATGAATGTGCTTGTTGAAAATAACAAGAGGAATTTAATTCCACAAATGTCCTCAACAGTGTTTGTTTTCAACCCAAAAAACCAAAAAGAATAACAGGAAGATTATACGTACCGGCTTGCTACATCTGTAGCTACAAGGACTGCACCTTGCGTCTGCTTGAATTTATGAAGTGCTCCTAAGCGCTGAGCCTGAGGCATATCTCCATTCAGTGCTATAACAGGCTGACGTAGAAACTGACGTAACAGCAAATTCAGTCGGTTACTGGCTACTCGAGTACGTGTGAAGACAATCACAGAAGTGGACATAAAAGGCCTGCAAAGAAGGAAAAACATCATCAATTGGTAATTTCATACAACTTCAAAGTGTTATGCATTTAAAAACCTCTCGTGATAATAACTGGAAGAGCTAGGTAGGTAAACCTATGCATGATTTAACAATAGCAGTCTTCGTCAAAGCCCTTACATTACAGTCAGTGAAATTCAGTAATGGCTAGTGAGGTCTAGTGGCTTCGCTCAACGTGAAACACAACAGTCACGAGAGAAGACACTACTGATGATAATTCACCTGGTCTAAAACATCCCGATGTGTAATTCACCAGTCACATGAATACCCATTGGAGAAAACAGATATAACTACTAGCTGATTGAGAAGAACCCTAAGAAAAAACCACCACATTCAATGATGGTATTAGGTGAGACAACCATTAACTTTCAGTGCACCGAATTACTGACGAGAAATATGGACGTACCGGGATTCGGCGGAGGCTCCATAATTGAAACGATGACCAACCAGCATCAGTAGATGCATGTATTCGAAGCAGTGCATTGGTTTTCGTGATAAATCAGCATCGATGGGTCGGTGTGCTCGTCCGAACTGTCTTTCAGTATGCTTCTAGATGACTCTGAATCGTTGTCGGGAGCAGACGATATCTCTCCTTCATACAAATTAGTAAGGCAAGGCATTGCACCTGAATACTCTTGCATAAAGTGGTGAAATGAGGTTTCGATTGTATTGTGTCGGTTTTCAGATGAGAAGTAATGGATAAGAGTTGTGAATGTATGCCTACTATCGACGGTGATATCCTTGGTTGTTGCTGACTGGATCATGAAGCAGACTTTGAGTGGAGGATGAGAAGACGTAGATACGTCGGACCGACAAAAGGATTCTAGAAGATATGGATTACTCACAAAATCGAGGATTTACAGGTCAGCCAGTCGGTCGGAGAGAACAAACAAGAAGGAACTTTGACAGTGCAGCTGAATAGCCGAGGACCTATCACTCAACTGATAAGGAGGAGGAAATGGGGACACACTGAATATATGCTGAGGAGCTATCCCAGTGACATCAAATGTCGGGCAAACTCTCCAATGGAACACGGATGAGAAACAGCAGGTTGGGTTACTCGTGAGAGGGTGACATGGAAAATATCATATGAAAAGGTGAGCGCCAGCTGAAAGTGATAACAGCCAACCAAGTGCAATGGGATCTGCAACTGAAACTCAATGTTTCACTCGGATTGCAAGAGACGTCTGATTACAATAATCATAAGGTTCAGGCGTATGCTGATTGGAACCATGAAATGACTAGCGGCCATAAATATCTGTTATTCACAGGTGACTTTTCAAACTCACTATACACACTGTTTGACAGAAATTTTCCTACACCAACTACCTATAAAGCAAGATTTATATCACATCCAACAACTGAGTATTACATCCTAGTAAAATACATAACGTAGACATAATAAAAGCCGAAAGATTTATCCACAAATGAGTTAAAAACGTCGGATGCCTCAAGGAGTCGTTAGTGCATATTACTGAGCTATCTCAAACGAGGTTGCATCCGCTCTCTAGCAACACCGTTTTGAAAATATCGATGCGTAATGGAAACGCATCTGAAGATATTAAGGAACACTAGGCCTACTTTGTGAAAAAACAAATAAGTGGAAGTGTAGTTAAAATTTACAGTGCATGCAGACAAAATATCGAACTTATTTGCAAAGTCAACCAGTCAACAACTATTCAATCTGTGTGGTTACAGACTATCAAGGGGCTTCAATAGCTCCATAAAGATTCTGATGAAAGTGAAGCACAGAAAGCACTTTGACAACTTGCTTACCGATCATTTGAGTCACTGTTCGCCATCGCAGTAGCCTGCAGTTTTATCAAATCTAATCCCGGAGCCTGAATTTCAGGACACAGTGCAACACGAAGTAAATAGACTAAATATGAGTCAATTTCACACTGAGGCACTAAGTGTACATATTGACGTAAATTAGTCAAACTTTGAAATTTGCTTTTACGTGTAGACACACGAACTGGATCGTGAATTGAAGTCCGTTGAAGTTTGCCAACCTAACAAAGGAAGCATACAAAAATCAGAGTTGTAATAATTTGCAATTGCATTTACGCGAATAAAGCTTGATATGGGTGGAATTTCGTAAGCAGTATTTTCCTCAAGTATCTTAAGTGTCCCAAATAATCTAAAATTACTCTATACTTCTGCGCTCTCTTTCATCTCGTAACAGTAAATCTAGACAGCGTAACACTAATCTTATGTTCCAGAGCGCTGACGGCTAAAGCCTACATGGTAATATGTCTCAGATGGGAATAATAATAGAAACCTTAGCATGTAGTCGTATTCACGCATACTATGAAATCGTCCTAGAAAGACAAATCACAAAGAGAATTTCGTGTTAGTCTCTACACGCAGATAGATGACTTGTATGGGAGTTGATTCCATGCCACCTAGGGTGTAACAACAACTCAGACAAACAAACTCAGGCTTAAATTAATTTCCTTTGTGAGAGCAGATCACTTGGAGAAACTACAGCTTACATTTTATGCATTTTGATGAATCTTAAAATAAGCTGGACCATCTATTCAAACGCTCTGTGATGACTACAATTTTCACACATCATCTCACTTCTCGTCAAGAGGTATCATCACAGGCGGCTATGCTCCAATAATTAACTGTTGGCATATATAGGCAGGTTGAGAGAGAGTGTGTGTGTGTGTAAACCTACGAGGACAATTCTAACACACTCCTACATGTATATACGTAGGTGTGTATGTATTTATGACTGATTTGAAGAGCAACATGTTGTCATTTTCATTCTTCAAATAGCTCAGTAGTGGAATCAATTTGGTTGGCGAGGTCTAGCAGTGGAATCCGGGATGCACATTTCCTCCTACTTAGGCCACGGGGATAATGTTTTGAGGTTCGAGTCTCAGTAGGAACACCATCACTTACTGGGAATGCAGGTACGTCCAGCTGACAAACCTCTTTTCATACTTGTTTTATTATTCCAGAGTTACCCATTTTCCACCAGCTCGTCCTTCCTACACTACAAAACGCTGTAACTTATTCTGAAGTGCCGTCCTTTCACGCTTTACCTCTTCCAATATAACTGTGTGCACCATCTAAACAACGAAATTCAAGGATAACCTGACAATCGAGAGGTTGCATCTGCACTGAACCATTTCCAGGGACTCCAATGTAACTGTGGACACTGCGCGAAAGTCAGATGGACTGATTTTGTGGGCTTATAAAATTAGGATTACAACTAACGCGATATTGCAACGCTAAACTCAATCAACTAAAATCACAAACTAACTTTTCCGAACTAACCTTTTCAGTCATGGTTGCGGAGAATAGGAATGTCTGTCGCCGTGCAGGAACAATACAAAGAATCCTCTCAATGACAGATTCGAAATCAGTACTGAGCATTCTGTCTGCTTCGTCGATTACTAGTACGCGTAAGTTCGCGAACTTTAACTCGTCGAAACCTTTGGTTTTCTTTAAATGATCAACAAACCGACCAGGTGTAGCTATTAAAAAGGTGGATCACAATCGCACATTAACACAATTTTGAGTACTGTATATCGAATAAACAAGTATTAAGAAATGAAGGAGACCTGGTAGGTTGATGCTTTAAGTTGACGATATTATTATCATCATCTTACCTCAAGTTACAATACTACAATGGAATTTACAAAACCAGACAAATTTAAAGACCTGGAATCTTAGGGGAAGATGTTTGTCACAACAGAATCAAACCATCCACATTACGTCTCGAAGGTTTCCAGACCTTGTGTGCTTCCAGCTAAAATATACCTGTATGCCTAACTAAAAACAAAACTAGGGAGATAAATGGCAAGGCTGGAGGCATCAAGTAGTTTACAAACGAAAACATACTGTATGTTACAAGCTACAGTGTCACCACCTAACTTTTAGGTTGAACGGAGGAATAAAAATTCTGGCATAACAATTCTCACTTTGCCATTAATTCAGTGTTAGAATTAATATAAACCACCAGTAGAATACAAATATATTCGGTGAATGAGCAAGACAATCAAACTCCACAAAATAATAGACTGTTAGGGAAATGTGACCTCAAGGAGGAAAGTTATATTTTCGTAATTAGGTTCCTATCGGCCTTATTTCATAAGCCCCAACTATAGGTGTATCCGCTCACAAATATTAGTGTGTAATTCAATTAACATAACTCGGAATATGTTTGCTTACACATTAGTGGTGTCCTAACAAATTTGTCAAGCAAAAATCAAATTGACGATATATCATTCTATTCTCATGACGAATAGAACTTCGAGTACATGAAAGAGGTGTGTGCACTGTCACAGACTTTCTAGTTTTAAGTAAATGTGCTTAACCTTATTCAAGGCGTAGAACAGGAATTTCACAGCAACCTTATTTTCAACTACCCATACACTGAATCGGGCATAAAGTCCCGACATATCGATGGCATGAAAGTTGGAACTAAAATAGCGGCACATCTCAGTGTGAAATCACGAGGCACAAAACGTCATGTTTATGTGGTGAATTCACATCAGTGGCTGCATAGGTGACGTCTTTGGAAAATTAGTGCATTGTGCAATGGAAACACTGATCGGATATAAATTTATTTATGCATAACCCCTTAAAGGTCTCTTCATGTCAAATGCAACTGCTGGTAATGACTTCGCATAAAACATGATTAAACACTGTGAATAAATATTCATCACAAATCTATTTGTAGCACCACCTACACTATACTAACTAGATTGTGCTGACAAGGTCTCGTGAAGCCAGGTTGGATGATCAACAAATAACCCGTCATAAAATAAGGAAATCGGAAGGAAATTACCAGCATCATCACCAGAATTTTTCCGTACAATAAATTTATTGGCTGATTATTTACAAAGTGTTCAGAACATTCTAGTCAGTGTAGAACAAACACCGACTTCCATTTGTTTCCTTTTCAACTGAAAGCTATGACACACTCTAACAAGAAATGGGAGCAAGTATCTCAAGAAGGAAGAAGTATTTTCACTCTTCAGATTATTGTGAAAATAGAGCCAAGAAACCTGAACCAAAACAAGGTGGATACACAACAGTCAACGTATAGTACTTCCACCATTATGAAACACGATCAGATCAAGTCTGTCACCAAATAGAGGCAATCTGTAGTTAGGAAGAATATTAAGGTAAAGGAGTAAGCTATTATGAAATCATACAAACTAACCGATTATAACGTGAGGAGGCGATATCTTCATCAAATCAGCTTGTTGAGTGATAGGGACACCACCGACCAACAAGACGGTAGACAAACCAACAATTTTTCCAAGTGCATTAAATTGAGCTTGAACCTGGGCTGCCAACTCACGAGTTGGTGCTAACACAAGCGCAAAGAATGGATGAGGATCTCTCATTAATTTCTAAACTGGCCAGCAATCAATAACTACAAATAACTCACCTGAATTATGGGTAGTGCATAAGCTCCAGTTTTCCCTGAACCTGTTTCCGCAAGAGCGACCAGATTCCTGCCTAATGTTCTGTAAATTAAATATATGATATAACCTTCCAAAGCTGGGGGGATAGACAAAATCTGAATTGCTGTCGGCTCTTTCCATTGCAGATTATCACATGCTTTCTGAAGCTCATCATTGATACCCTAATTTGAATAAATACGGAGGAACATCTTACCAACTCTCGAAAAGTCTTGATTTCCGGCATTAAATGTTCAGATTTCAAATGGATCAGGGTCTTTTCTAAAAACGATTAGATTTTATATTGAAACAGCTTCAGTGAAAATTTCAATGACTTACTAGTGATTAGAATACAACAGAGATACTTTAACATGGTTTGTAGCAAAAATGAGTAAAGAAACAGCACATAACTCCGATGGGCCGGAAGCTTCTCTAACCTACTAGATCTAGTGTTATACAAGAGCAGCAGGCTGGTAAATGGAGTCATGGAAGGCGATAAGAACTGTCTCGGCGATGACAAAGTTATTAAACCAAAGATGCCCAAATAAAGTGCTTAAGATACCAGCCTAGCGATCCCAAACTGTCGGCAAGTGTAGTGTGATGTCATCACAGTTTCTGTCATGTAAGTGCTATTCACTGAATTCACAATTCTGGGGAATGCTTCAGGAAAGTAAAAGTGTGAATGCGAAAGTCCAGCGCTTACTACCGAATTGGTAGATATGCAAGTCTACCTACGAGAGCTGGAAAACCCTGATTTCAAACCTATATTGTACATGGGCTCTACAGTCCGATCGGATCCAATGGTGTATGAACCTGTTTTCGTTAAGAACAACTGTAGGAACGCAGGTCCACTCACTTGTGGATCAGACTAGAAAACAAATGCTCAGAGGTGGTCACCGCTTCTGTCTGAGCTTCTCGTTAGTATCCCAGGCCTCGGAAAAACCATGAGATTTTGTATGGTTCATCTCCTCACGCCCATGGTGGACCAAATTTGCTTTATAATGACAAAAATAACTTATCACAAAGTTTTTTTAACCTAAATGTTGTTCAGATGGAAAGCACACAAGAGAAATACTTATCTAATGGAAATCTTCATGAATTCATCGACACATCTACTCCAATGCTTGTGGTATGACTAATTATTTCTGTTTCGTATGATGTGTGACTGCTGAAACTGATCCACCTCTATGAACAATTCAAAGCTGATGTGTTAGTCTGTCAGTTCAAGATGAAACCACATGACAACTTAGTTGGCCTTGAAGTTCTCTCTTAATCGTGTCAATAACGGCGTCAGTGACTGACAACAGGACGACTGATCTTCATAATAGTCGTGAATGTCCAAAAATGTAGTTCTAAATTTTGCTGATAAGATAAAACTCTAAGGTCGAGCACCCATCATAAATGAACTCAGGTCAAGCACTCCATTAGTTCTATTGCTGATTTCATAAAATCAGTGGTGACAACTACCTATAAAAGTTGCCACCTGGAAGCAACCGAGGAGTTACGGTTAATTTTAGGAATTGCAAATGGAGATATCTGTACAATTGTAGCCGCATAGTTTTCTATATTTAAATTTCTGAATATTTCGAATAAGCATTCTACACTGTAAAGAAGATCAACGCCCCCACAATAAGTCTAAAATGACATATTTCGTCTACAATGCCGCAGAAATATTTCAATCATGTGCAGAAAAAGCCTTTCTTCCTACGTCTCGGTCGTTCAGAAACTCGGTACGTGTAACCTACAGTTAGTGCATTTCAACATGTTGAACTTTTACTTTCCATCTAGGAGACATTGATCATACACACGTTTTATGCTGCTTGTATTATATGCCTAACCTCAGTTTTTCAACTTCGAGTAAATTAGCTTAAAAATGAACATTCATTCACCGTCACACACTAAAATTCTGCGCTCACTGTTTGCAGATTTTAACTTGAATGTAATCGACATTGCTGAGCACTGCAACGGAAAACGTTTGTCGACGAGTATTGCAAATAATTAGTTTTGAGGAAGTTTCAGGTTTTTCCGTGTCCTTTGGAGTTTTTGGGGAAATCTGAACGCTTTCCGGGGAAGATTTGGTATATCCCCAGGAGTTTTACCCCGAAAATCACCCAACAGTCAGAGGCAATGATCCAACTAATACTGTGATGTGGTTGTTTCCTAAATTATTTGAAGGCAGAGGATCACTTTGAATGCGTGCCTATGTGACCTTACAGATAAAAGCATAAAACGCTTCAAAGCGGAGCCAGCTCAATATATCATCTCATACCTACCGTGCCTTGCAGTAACGCAACTTTTGAATCACCGCTAACTCTTATATGTCTTGTGCCTTAGTGAAACTAATGAAATGCATGTGCGTGTGCATATCCAGGCTTTTGTGAAGGAGATAAAGCTTTCAGTTTGCTCCAGTATTGGATTCTCGAAAATAAATATTCCTAAATTAGTCAGTGGAAGTCTCAGCCACCACTATCGGAAGTTGGTGCCGGTAATTTAAATGAACATCGAGTGTCGCTTCCTTTTTGTGTTAATTAAGTGACTCTGATTCAGTGAAAAAACGAGAAGAAGGTTTTCAAAATTCAACTGTGGGGTAGAGGAAAGTTAACACATCCCTGTGTTTGACTAATTCCCAATATATCTATTTTCCAGTTTACTACCATATTTGAGGTTTTATTTTATTTGTAAATGAAATATCTTATTGAAATTTGTTTGACAAGTATCAAAGTGCTAAGGACAAAAGGATCGCTTATAAAATTCATTGATAACGTACTTCGAATGTACTGATCTTTTCAAAACATTCATTTTGACATTATGGAATGCAATGGAGTTATTTTTGTGAAAGGAATCATGTCGTAAAAAAGATCATGATTATGCATGAATCTCCATCATTTGTAAGCACATGCTGCGTTTTTACACGCATTTTATAGAAGTGAATGCCTGCGTAACACATTATGAGTGCTAACTCCAATTTCTCGTCTGAAATACGTCAATTTGCGATATCTTAGTATGAATGAAGTCAATTCTATGGATGTGTAGCGGTAAATAAATCCCCGAAATTATTAACCACAGAAATCATCACTCAACATTGGATGCTGACCATCACTGTTTAAGTCGACTTGTTTAGCTGAAGGCTTCCGGTCAAGCATCCCCGCCATTTGGTACTCCGTCGTGTCACGTGCGTGCACGAATACTAGCTAGCTAGGCATTCACCTCTACCCGCGATTTTGTCCCGAAATATACTACGTACTTTGGACGACAAAATTTGGTCTTTTGCTTTATCTTTTGTACTCGAAGAATAAACACTATAGAAGTTGTTGGTATAAGATCTTGCGTTAGTATAATCCGTACAACTCGCGAACGTCGATACCTGTAACCACCTGAACTGGTGAGCCCAACCACGAACTACATCTTCAATTCACACGCAGATAAACCCGGTGAGTTCGTTCCTTTTTGTGTTTATTCTTGTACTATATTGTTATCGGCATACTTTTCGTCATGAGTGATTCTAGCCCCAAGGTTATTCAGATTCGCTCAACCGCCAAAACAATCCAGCTAGTACCATATTGACCAGATAATGCTGAAACGTGGTTTCAGATTGCTGAGTCTGATTTTTGTGAACATGGCATAACTGATCAACGTTCACAGTTCCTTGCAGTTATTCACGCCCTACCGCGGGAATTCAGCAGGTGCGTAACTCTGCAGATGTCGAGTCCAGAGGTAAGTAATTCGTACGAGTTGCTCAAAGCATCCATCCTCAAGAGAAACGTTCTCACAGATCGACAACGTCTGGATGAGTTATTTCGTAACATCGAGTTAGGAGATCAGTCAGCCGTGAGCATGCTGGCGAGGATGAAAGAAATCATTGGCCAAAGTCAGTTCGATGAAGGACTGTTCAGAGAACTATTTTTATCCAAACTGCCACAGTCAGTTCAGACTGTACTTGTGACACTTCAGGGTGTTCTCATGGATGACTTAGCTGTCTCTGCAGATAGAATTCTAGAGATAACGAAACGGCCAGTTACCGAAGTATACTCAGTTACCGAACAGGCTTCGAAGAAGGATTCTGCAATGATAGAGTTAATCAGCTCCGTCCAGCAGATGCTTAGGTCAAACAGGCCTAGGAATTCCTCCTACCGTCGTTCCAAATCCCCTCAACGGCAAAACGCACGTGGACGATCTAAGTCCAACACACGTTCTCTCAAAAATCCTGACTGGTGTTGGTATCACAACACCTATGGCCAGGAAGCGAAATGTTGTCGAAAACCTTGTGATTTCAGCAAAGCCTCCAAGTCTGTGGGAAACTATCCCGCCGGCACGCGTTAGCGGCAACCGTCGCCGGTGGCACTAGCCGCTTACTTTACGTCCATGATGTAATGAGCCAGACTAGATATCTAGTCGACACAGGCGCCGAAGTCAGCGTCCTTCCTGCTACAGCAGCAGATCGACAGAAGGATCCTAACTTCAACCTACAGGCTGCAAATGGAAAACCAATTGCAACCTATGGTCGGAAATACGTCTATCTGAACGTAGGTTTACGCAAACCTATTCAGCGGATTTTCCTAATCGCTGACGTCACAATGCCCATCATTGGCATGGACCTACTTAATCATCATGATTTGCTCGTAGACGTCCGCCGTAAACGATTAATTGACAACACTACTAGTTTGTCTATCAAAGGCATAATTTACGTAGGCCCTAGCTTGTCAGTCGTTAAGATGAAAGCAATCCTCGATCCAACTTTTCAACCGATTGTTGACAAATATTCGGAACTTAATTGCCCATCTAACGATCTCCCGTGTTATGCACCACATCATAACCTCAGGACAGCCCGTGACATCCAAAGCACGACGACTGGCACCTGACAAACTGAGAATTGCCAGAAATGAATTCGATCATACGCTCACCCTTGGCATCATTCGACCATCGAATAGTCCATGGGCATCCCCATTGCATATGGTACCGAAAAAGGATAGTAACGATTGGCGACCCACTGGTGATTACCGGCGAGTGAACGCCAAAACAACCCCTGATTGCTACCCTTTGCCTCACATACACGACTTGACGGCAACGTTATCTGGAGCATCTATATTCTCCAAAATCGACTTGGTTAAAGCATATAACCAAATCCCGATGGCAACGGAAGATATTCCGAAAACGGCTATCACCACGCCTTTCGGACTTTTCGAATTCCTACGTATGCCGTTTGGCCTCCGGAATGCGGCCCAAACATTCCAACGCTTCATCGATGAAGTATTTCGCGGTCTCGACTTTGTATACGCATACTTAGACGACTGCCTCATTGCCAGTCCAGATAAGGTAACTCACCTTAGACACTTGGACTTGGCATTTGAAAGGTTACGCCAACATGGTGTTACCATCAATATACAGAAGTGTCAAAAAGGCGTTGACTCACTCGATTTTCTGGGTCACACTATTGACTGTCAGGGCATTCGCCCACTGGCTACTTCGGTCGATCACTCTAAGAAAACGCGTTCTGGACCTCACGCTAGATTCCCAGAATACATCCACACCTATTTCACATAACAGAGTGACACATCAATTTTATGTTGCATCATTTAACACAAGTAAATGATATTTTTCCTATAACCGTACATAAAATTAAATTAGATGTCTATTTTTTTCCCGATATTTTGGACTTTACATTATTTTACTGTATAGTAGATGCATGTCATATTTTTTTGGTAAAATAAACGCTTATTTGGTACATTTGTCTTGACAAGGTTCTCAGCATTCTTGTTTTCTTTTCCAGGTGCAACGGGCACTGGACAGGAAACAAACGAAGCACGGGATCCAACGAACAACATTGAGGAAGCTATGTACAGACACCCTATTAGCATAGGCAGACAGACCAGCAGGCTCTCGATCAAGCCACTCGGAAGATTTTTTTCACCCATCAGGGAACCATCGAGATTTTTTTACTTCCGGCTGGTCATGTCTTAGGGTCCTCACAAACCCACTAGGGGGGGAGTGAGCTGTAGCGGTAAGTAATTCCCCAAAATTATTAACCACAGCAATCATCACTCAACATTGGATGCTGACCATCACTGTTTAAGTCGACTTGTTTAGCTGAAGGCTTCCGGTCAAGCATCCCCGCCATTTGGTACTCCGTCGTGTCACGTGCGTGCACGAATACTAGCTAGCTAGGCATTCACCTCTACCCGCGATTTTGTCCCGAAATATACTACGTACTTTGGACGACAAAATTTGGTCTTTTGCTTTATCTTTTGTACTCGAAGAATAAACACTATAGAAGTTGTTGGTATAAGATCTTGCGTTAGTATAATCCGTACAACTCGCGAACGTCGATACCCGCAACCACTAAAGGTTGTTTCCTTTTGCTGTGAAGTTAAAGTTGAAATTACCTGCCAACTGGAACCTCCTTGTGATGGCAAATAATTCCGCTAAATCATTAGCCCATAGCGTCAGTCATTCAAAACTGGATGGTGACCTTCACTGTTGAAGTCGACTGGTCAAGCAGAAGATAGTCAGTCAAGCACCAATGCCATTCCAAGCTTTAGACAAGAAATGCCGCAGACTCTGAATTGGTATCAGTTGCATAAGAGAGGCGAACAATATCTTGTGCATCCATCTACTAGTTTCAAATTGAATCCAGACGACAAAATACCCAATATGGGTCACACAGAATACCATCAGGTTCTCTAAATACCTTAAATTTGTCTTGCTTAGTAGAATGAAATTAACCCGTTTTTGTCCAAAGCAATCTGTTCTACTTATGCAGAATATGTAACGTGCGACTGCTTGGCAGACGAGCGAAGGGCAAATCATTGCCATCGCGTCCGACAAAAGGGCATAACCAGTCGTTCAGCTATTATATTTTTGCCCTTTGCTGGCATTTTCATGGAGTCCTTACGAGCCTATTGGGGCAAAACTGCTGCAATGGTGAGTAAATTTCCAAAATCATTCGCTTATAA